CGCCATGGAAACGGGACAGCGTGGTCTTATAAGGGACTTTTGCCGATAGGCGTCCGATAGGTGCCGTGGGATGGTGGCTGCAGATGGTTCTACTCCAGTAGCACTTCGGTTGCTGTCAATTAAGCTGGGAATTATAGAAGGAAGGTTAGTTATGGGGGCCGGGATGGGAGTAAGAGAAAAAGGTGGAAAAGAAAGAAGGGAGGCGCCAGCAGTAGCATGCTTTCGCTTATCCGCCCTGCTGTATGCAGCAGATAAGGCGACCCTTGATAATCTGCGCGACGGCCGATGCAGGATGAAGTTTATGTTTGAAGAAAATGTCATGGTTGTGTGTGGGCTGGGATACTGCCAGGGCGCCCAGACCTAGACAGGAGAACGATTAGGGTCCTCATCCAAAGCCTTTGGCTCAAAAGTCTGTCCGCAAGGCAGCGGGGTGGCAGTGATTTAGTTTTACAGAAATGGACGCCATCCCATTTCAAACCCCAACCTGGAGGACCAGGAGACTGAGTTCGTCTGACCTCTCACCATTGACCAACCTGGTAGGAGTAGCTCTCAAGATGCTCGGAGGCATCACCCAGTATAGCTCAATGGGTCAATGAGGTACGCAAACCGTCGCACCACGTTAAGGTCCAGTCTCGTTGCGACGGCTGCGACGGCCAGAGCATCAGGGAATTGTTTGATGAAGGGTTCATTGTATTGCGTGGGCAGAATACTGTCAGGTTGCCCAGGCCTAGACAGGAGAACAATTAGGGTTCTCAACCAAAGCTTTTGATTCCAAAACCTTACCACAAGGCAGCAGGTTTTGGCACTGGACTACAAGGAGCCCGTTTAGGGAAAAAGGAGCCACCCTCACTCCAACACCCAACCTGGAGGGTCAGGAGACTGAGTTTGTCTCGCCTCTAACCATTGACCAATCTGGTGTGAGTGGCTCAGAACGTGCAAAAGCACCAACAAGCATAGCGCAATGGATCGCTGAGTTATACAAACTATCGCACCAGGTTAAAGTCCAGTCTCGTCACGATGGCGGGAGATTGCAGGCTGCATATAAATATTAAGCGTTCACATTGGTCGGCAATAACTCTCTGAAATCCTGACGCTCCCATCTTACTGGTGTTGCATGAGCAATCTGACTGTCTCAGACTCTTTCGCTCGAGTAAAAACAATTATAATGTATGCTGAAAAGTGTGGGATGGCCTCCAAGCGTTAAATTGTTACTTGGTCACGCTACGTTCGTGATCCGCATTCGAACATGTTACACAGCAGGAATGAGCTCAACCGATTCTGCTTCCCACCCATATTCTTTTCACTTTTCCTCTTACTCGCATATGCCCAGCGTAAAGTTAAACTGAAACATTTGAGTCGAATGAACAATGTAAAACAGGTCCACCTAAAACACAGCCAATCAATATCCCCTTCTGATTATCTCGATCCTCCTGTGCAACTGTTGAGCTGAAAAAATAGCTTCGGCTTACACTACTTTTTTGGAACGCCACAATTTATAGAAATTGCTTTTACCTAAATTAGATGTAACATACAATATTTTAAAAGCTTAAAATTTGTCTTCTGTTTCACTTATCATCACACAATTGCTCTTATCTATCACCTCAAGGAAATAACACTTATTTCCGCTGTAAACGGAACTCTCCGACAAGAAAGCATAAGTATCCAATATCCAGCTGGAGCTTTGAAATTGAAAACCGTCAATGATAAAAATATGATCTTCATTTCTACTTAACGCCCATACTGTGGATATTATGCGAATTAGTGGACTAAATCTAACGGAACAGAACGCCGGACAAATGCGACAAACGACGGCCACAACCGAAGAGGCACGAGCGAGTACGCTACGAGACAAAAATCAGAGATAGATTTCGATGGTCATGTGCCCGTCGAACGATCCAAACTCGGACTGGCGGCTAGAAGATTGATCACTCATACTTACTGTTGCTTTGTACCGCGCCGCTTTGCTACATAAACGTGCAATGACGATGTCACCTCGGGTGGTGACGAAACGTTTGCAGCCACACTGCCGAGCTCAGCAAACACTCAGACCACCACACAAGTAATATTTAAGTAACATAAGATGTAGCCTCTCCTAGTTTCAAATGCCATACATATAGCGTCTGGTGAGAAATCATGACCTGGAGGCTAGCCACTGACATCTGCGGGGGTAATAACCTGGGTGCCAGTGGAAGATAGGTCGTGCTATATCCCAGTTAGCTTACAAATTAGGTAGCCCTGCTGCCGTCCCACATGGCTCAGCGGCTTAAGCTACTGGTTAGTTGGTGTCAGCCATTAGCGGTCATGGGTTAGATCCCCAGTAGGGGGCGACGGAATGCGCACCACTGGTGCCTCGGTGGCACTCTTACTGAGGCTCCCCTACCCTGCTCTACGCTACTGCATGCCACTCAACTACGCATTGATGAGGTCACCTCGATTGGTGACAAAACGTTTGCAACCAAATTGCCAAACTCAGCGAACAGTTCAACCGCCATTATTATTATTAATTGCTTCAGAGTTGTTAAAATCAAGAGGAGCCTTCAGTACGATGAAATTGAGGTCTCTATCACTCTCAGCTGTAACAAGTTTTCGCAACAATCAGACCTCGGGTGTATGGCCAACTAGAAAGCCCATATCGAAAATATGTTTACAACATCTGTACCATGCGTCGAATAGTAGCCATGAATCAGGATCAAAAACAGACTCACTAACATGGTCGATCACTGCGACTACGAGATGCTTTTCTATATTCTGATTGGCGGCATTCAGTTCCGGATTTGCCTGCCAATGCGGCCTCCATGGGAACAGCTACAGGACGCTTGCGCTTACAGATGGACCATGCGTGGCTCGCGATGTACCAGCCACAGTTCCAACCACACCCCATATCCAGTGTAAACCTGAAGCAATAAGATCGGGAGGCATGTGGATGGGAGCCACGTTTCATCAACGGAGCTGGCCCACATTCCTTCACAGGAAAACACAAGCACGCTGTATTTGGGAATAAAGCGCACACAAGGCGGTGGCTGGACCGTAGTCCGCTCCACACACAAACTGTGTACAAAACCACCCTTAGAGCCTAACGCGGTCATAAAAATCATGCACCCCATCAACTCCAGATACGACCAATTCTCTCCTGGAGCCAGTATAGATGAGGTGGTTGGTAATAGACCGGTAGGCACCTTGTCAACATGCATACCAAACGTAGCCTTACCGGGGATGTCAAGCAACAGCCAATCACTTAAAATGACGATATCAAATAAAATAAATCGGATAAGGCATACGGATACGCTAAGGTAAGTCTTCGCTAAATTAGTATACGTAAGAAATTGGTTATCAACAAATCGGTACAAAATGTAAGATGCTATAAAATATATTTTAGGAAAATACCACAAACGCGAGAATCTTAACGAAGTTAACCATAACTAGCTTAAGCGAAGTGCGCAAATGTATAGAATATTACTCAGGTAGAGGCTAAAATGAGATATATAGAAATATTAAAACAAGATAGCAAACCCATCACCTGAAATAAAAAAAACTCAACACGCAAGGCCGCGGTTAGTAAATCGAATGCAGCGTACCTACCAACGCTGCACTGGTTCAGCTTACGTTCTCAGCAGTTTAGACGATTAAGGACATAAGAATACAAGAAAGCACGGTTGTAAAGTGGTCACTTTTCGCCAACTCACATCAAGAAAACACGTTCACACGGATAACTGGGATAAGTACAGGCAAATGAAAACTGAAGAGTAGGTGGTGGAAGTCTGGACTGGTTCAGTCCATTGGAACGGAAGTTGTATCGATCGGCTCAGGTGATAGGAGCCTGTTATCAATGAAAACTGACCCCCCTTGACAGAGCTCGCTGACTTCTTCACGAAACAAACTAGATCAGCCTAGAACTGTAGTCACCCTCGGTCATCATCAATGTTCCATACGGATGGATCCGCATCAGGGTCATGGCAACGTGAGAGATTGCAACAGCATCTCTGTTTGCAAGGCTCTGGTTGTGTTAACATGATCGCTATCGAGTCGATTATCTTAAGGAGGCGTCTCCTAACTTCCTTAGGATACCGTTTTGGCACGGTGTAGAAAAAGTTGCAAGCATCACTGGTCAGAATTTCGTGTTCACTTTGAGCAAGATGTTCAAGGATGGAACTCTTGATACCCGGTAGTGCCTTTAATACGGGCATTATTCACGAATTGGAAAAGAACAAGCAGCCCGCAGCGTTTACTTAACAAATGTTTGAAGTTTAACGCTAGGTTTGCAGAAGCAACGACAGGGAATAGACTATGGGCATCTCGATCATTCGATGCTGAGCAGGTTCAAATTGCTGCAGCTGTGTAAACAAAATGGATTTCGCGTCTATTGCTGAGGTTGCCAGTTGCCAAAATCTGTTGTGCTTCCGCTGACAGCACTGATAAACGACAACGCTATTGCAAATCGAGGACTGGTAAGTTAGTGAAGCAGCAGGTAAAAGCCCTGACCAAATCGTCAATTCACCCCTATAAGATACACTGTCCCTTATGATGGAAAACGCTGACTGTAGCTTAACAGAAGAGATCAAGAAGAAAGTTCCGCGCATCTAACAGCTACCACTGTCCGGTAAACGGTCTCGCTGGCTGGCTTACAGCCAATCACTCACTGACTGACGTCATGGCTAAAGTACTCCTGTCGGACGGTTTCCAGATGATGATTCTCCAGTTGAGTTGGTTCTAGCTTCTGTTGAGGCCAGGGAAATGCAAACAGACTTGAGCAGGATTTTTTAATAGTCGGTAGAAATTTTGTGACGTAGTTGGAGTAACTGGATTTATCGCACAGTGAGGTTAGTTGAACTGAAGGCGCATAACACCTGACTCTTTCGGTCTAAGACAGCCAGTTTGCACAGAGATACCAGGATCACAGGAAGGTGCGATGAACAGCGGAAAAGCAAAACGGTGAGCAATTGTACGAATGATTGTAAATTGGGATGACCTCCAAGCGCGATATATAGTTATCAAAGACTCACCATCGACTTCCTCCATAGAAGTCAGCAATTCTTCGGTTTCCACTGAGGATGAATCAGACATCTGACGTAATTTGCGCGATGCATCTGTAAAGTCTTCCTGCTACAGGCAAATGAGAAACAACTACCAAAGGAGTACTTGCAGAATGAAACCACTATTGACATGTGGTTTGTAAACCTCAAGATTGAAGAGTTTAGTTTGTAAAGCAACACTCTCCGTCTCTTTGCGTTTCTCGTGCTCTGATTGAGCCAAATGAAATGCGGTGTCCAAATCTGTTTCAGAGAATCCCGACCTGTTGAACTGCTGAAGACAAATATGTAAGTCATTATGACTAACTTCAAAGTGCACCGCATGGAAGCAGCTTTTCTCAGTATATCGGACGTGTTGATTAAAGCGAGGCAAAAATATATTTTGGTATAGCCAGCATCCACAGGAGGCCCAGCGCATTGGAAATCCCTGAATACCAGAGGAAAATGTCGGAAACTTCCAATAAGGCGAAAAGCACAAACGGTGGTCGAGTCAAATGTAACAGACTACGCCAAAGGAGGCCACTGGAACCTGGGATTTTAGCAGCCATTGCAAAGTATGTGGTATTAAGCATCAAATGCAAAATAGAAACTTGTGACAAGCAAACGCACAAGTCCACACTAACAACCATAATAACAACAACAACAACAACCAAACTGGACGGGGTATCCAAGAGCTGACACGTCTAACCCAAGTTCAAGTTCAAGTTCAAGCGGGACTGGAACGATAGGATAGATCCCTTGAGTGTTCCTTCTTCGGCGGGTCGTTGAACCAGGAGTTAGCGAACTTTGAAATACTGATGGACCTAAAACAAAGACCGCATCACACCCTGTCCAACCAATTAATGCCCACGTATCCTGCCCTAGCAGTCCCTGCTGGGTCGGTTACGTGAAGTAAGAAAGAGAAAAAAGGAAACGCAGGAGGCAAAAGAGAAAGTGGTAAGAGCTAAGCAAGTGGAATACCAAGATATTTGAGTCAGATTCAGATTCAGATTCAGATGGACTGGAACGATAGGAAAATCCCTTGAGTGTTCCTTCTTGAGCAAATCGTTGAGCCAGGAAATGATAAGGTGTTAGTTCTTGATAGATCTAAAACGAAACACCCGAAACACACCCTGATCAACCAACTACTGCCCACGTTCCCTGCACTAGCAGTCCGCGCTGTGTAGGTTACGTGAAGTAAGAAAGAAGTAGAAAGTAAATGAAAAGATAAAGGGGAATGAAAGTCATTAAAATGAAGGATAACACCAAAAAGTGAAGATAATGACAGAATAAGAACTGAAAGTTTGAAGATGGATATGGTCAGGAGAAGGGAAAGGTTTCGTGTTGCCACCCAAGAGCGTCTAACTGACGCTCGAAACCCTTAACCGTAGGTTCACTGACTACATTTTCTGGAAGCGAGTTCCAGCGCTCGATAACTCTACGCGATAACCGAGTTTCCGCCCTGATCCCGTCAGAACGCGGCTTGTGTAGCTTCATGGGATGACCGCGAAGACAAGGCAACCTAGCCGGGCTAAACAGCCAGCGCAAGTCCGGCCCAACCTTCCCTGTTAAAATGCGGTAAGTAAGGATTAGGTCTCCTCGAAGCCGTCGGTAGTGCATTGAATACATACCCAAGCTAAGTAGACGCTCGGGGTACGATTGCCCCCGTAACCCCTCGACCAATTTGGTACCTACTCTCAAAACCCTCTCAAGCTCCATTTTGTCCCGAACAAGGCAGGGCGCGCAAGCCTGGACGCAGTATTCCAGATGGGGCCGAACGAAAGCTGAGAATAGCTTCACAAATATGTCGGCAGTTAAGACCCCGAAAGAACGGCGTATTAACCACAACATTCTGAAACCCCTACTAACGGCCTTCTTCCAGTTGTCACCAGAATGCAAAGACGAGGAATGAACGACACCTAGATCTATCTGGTTGGAGACAAGGGGGAGTTCGACCCCACCGAGTACGTAGCTCGAAGGCGGGAAAGTTGCTCCTATACGAAGGACGGAACACTTAGCCTGATTTATGGGCAGTAGCCACAAAGTAGACCAGTCCCAGAGTCTGTCCAGTGCACGCTGTATGGCCTCAGAACCCCCAGGAACATTTACAACATTCCACAGCTTAAGGTCATCAGCAAACAATAAGGATGAAACCCCAAGCTCTCCAGGGAGATCGTTTACGTAGATAGAGAACAGCATCGGTCCAAGGACCGAGCCCTGTGGGACACCGCTAAGGACCGCTTGCTTAAAGGATAAGCTGCGACCCACACGTACACACTGCTCTCTTCCCTGCAGAAACGCAGATACCCAGTGAAGGGCGCGGCCAGATACGCCGTAGGACCTCAGCTTATGTGATAGCCTCAAGTGGGGTACTTTATCAAACGCTTTCGAGAAGTCTACGAAAAGCACATCCACTACGTGGCCATTGTCCACTGCCTCGGCCCAAGCTTCACGAGCAACCAACAAATTCGTCAAACACGAAAACCCCTTCCGGAATCCATGTTGTGCGCTGCTGAGCAGATTAAATCTATTCAGGTGACATTCCAACGAATCTCTCACCAGCTTTTCAAGCAGTTTGACCACGACGCTAGTCAGACTAACTGGCCTATAATTGGCTGACAGACTCCTGTCGCCATTTTTGAAGATAGGACAGATGACAGCCTCCTTCCATTCGGAAGGTAATGTACAGGTGTCAAGTGATTTCTGAAACACCATCGTCAGCGGTCCACTTAGTTCCCCCGCCAACTCATGCAGAAGCTTCGGGTGAATTGAATCAGGTCCAGCTGCTTTGGAAGGGTTCAGTTCTTGCAGCAGTTTAAGGACTTGCGTTTCCCCCACAGTAAACTCAGCTAAATAAGAACCCTCAGGTACTCTGGGGACAAATTCAACGCTAGTCAACGCGGCCTCACGTACAAAAGCCCCTGCATACTGTTCCCCAAGTACACGAGCCTTATCTGAGTCCGCATACGCACGAGTTCCATCGGCCCTCATCAAAGTTGGGATTACCGAAGTTGAACCACAGCGTCTCTTAACATAAGCGAAGAACTTCTTCGGATTTTCCGAAGCTCCGTCAGCCAATTCCTTTTCGTACACCAGCCGAGCTTTCCTTAAGTGTTGTTTACACCTATTTCTAGCCTCGCGGTACCTAGCATAGGTGCTAGTTGATGGAGCCGCACGGTAGGTCCTCCAGCACCTAGAACGCCGATAAAAAAAGAACTGAAGAATGAAGGTGAGTCAGCTAGGAAAAAGGAAAGGTTTGCTGTTACCACCCAAGAGCATCGAGCTGGCGCGCAAAACCCTTAACCGTAGGTTCCCTAACCACGTGGTCTGGAAACGAATTCCAGCGATCTATAACTCGGCGCGATAGACGAGTTTCCGTCCTAATCCTATCAGACCGTGGTTTATGCAGTTTCAGTGGGTGGCCGCGGAGACTAGGTAACGTAGCGGGACTAAATAGCCCTGACAAGTCCGGGCCAATCTTACCCGTCAAAATACGATAAGTGAGAATCAGGTCCCCTCTTATCCTTCGGTAGTGAATAGAGTACATCCCCAAACTGAGCAAGCGTTCAGGATACGTATGTCCCCGTAGACCCTGCACTAACAGAGTGCTCACTCGTAACACCCTCTCCAAGTCCATTTTGTCTCGGTTAAGACATGGTGGACAAGCCTGTATACAATATTCCAGGTGGGGTCGGACGAACGCCGAAAATAGCTTCACAAACAACTTGGCCGTTAAGATTCCAAAAGAGCGGTGGATAAACCACATAATACGAAACCCTCGACAAGCAGCCTTCTTCCAGTTGTCTGCAGAATGAAGTGCTGATGCGTGTAGGACTAATAAATCAACCTGCTGAGTGAGAACAGGGAGTTCACCATCGCCGAGAACATATCGGGTGGGAGGATTAGCAGCTCCGATTCGGAGAACAGAGCACTTGGCCCTATTTATGGGCATCAACCATAAGATAGACCATTCCCAGAGTCTATCCAAGGCACGCTGAATTGCCTCAGGACCCCCCGGGATATCCACAATATTCCAGAGCTTAAGGTCGTCAGCAAACATTAATGACGACACCCCTAGCTCTCCCGGCAAGTCATTTACATAGATCGCGAACAACAATGGCCCCAATACCGAGCCCTGCGGAACGCCACTAAGGACAGCTTGCCTGAGCGAAAGGCTACGCCCCACCCGAACGCACTGTTCCCTCCCCTCAAGGAAGGCAGACACCAATTGAAGGGCGCGACCAGATATCCCGTAAGATCTCAACTTTAGTGAGAGCCGAAGATGTGGAACAGTGTCAAAAGCTTTCGAAAAATCTACGAATAGCACGTCTACAGCGTGGCCACTGTCTACCGCTTCGTCCCAGCTTTCACGAGCTACAAGTAAATTAGTCTGACATGAAAATCCTTTGCGGAATCCATGTTGTGCAACACTGAGAAGGTTGAATCGATTCCGGTGGTTCTCCATTGAATCCCTTATCAGCTTCTCGAACAACTTGACTACTACGCTTGTCAAACTGACAGGCCGGTAGTTCGCGGGTAGAGCGCTGTCACCGCCCTTAAAAATCGGACAGATGATTGCCTCCTTCCAGTCCGAAGGTAGGCTGCAGCTGTCCAGCGATATTGAAAATACGCACGTGAGCGGACCACTCAGCTCAGTGGCCAGTTCATGCAACAGCTTCGGATGAATTGAATCAGGACCGGAAGCATTAGAGGGATTAATGCCTTGCAGTAGCTCGAAGACCTGAGTCTCCGTTATGCTAAATTCAGCTAAGCAAGAATCCTCTGGAACTCTTGAAACCAATTCACCCTGCGGTAAAGAGGTCTGTAGTGTT